AACGAAAAGGTAGTTTCATTCACAACAACCATATATATACCAAGTCCGTTTTGACTAGGAACATGTATATATAGCTATGTATTTATACCTGCTTCCACCATATGTTTTAGCATTATATGCATGCAACGCAATAAAACCAAACAGCTAGCTAGGCATGCTGTGCCGCCGGTGAAACGTAATTTTAGCATGAAACGTCAGGGAGGTGAGCTACTACTCCTACTACTAGCCAATAGCTACGCTCCACTCTTGGCGTAGTCTTTGACCAAACCGATCGAATGGGATGTGTCTCCGGGAAAGTGCCTTGCTGCGGGCCAAAGTTACCATGACGTGTATGTGTCGGTGTGTGCAGTGAGTGGTAGTTCGAAGGCTACATCCTCGACTTACCTAGCTATACGTGCACAAGAGAAAGCTAGTGGTGCATGGAATTCGCGCGCCTCGAATTAGCTTGTATATATCTACAATCTACTACCGTCATGCGCTAATATATAAATTCTGGCTTACTTTTCAAATCGAATTGAGTACAGGTGGAGCAAACGAATCAGGGAGCGTGGACGCTGGACGTCACCATGGTTTTGGAAATACCCAAATGACTTGAGCTGCAAGTAAAACCTACAAATATCTCTTTATATATATATCCTCTTCTTTAAAATAAGAAACCAGCGGGCGGGAAGTGCTTCTCGGCTTGCTGCTTCAGGATCACCAGCCAGTTCAGCTTGCCCACGTCGCTGGGGTGACCATCTTGTCGAAGAGGTGTCCCCGCGGGCGGCCGTCACAGGGGAGGGCGACGCATGGGAAGAATGGTTGTTGGCCAGCGACCAGGTGGCGGCCAAGGCGCGCTTGTTCTGCGCGAGCTCATCAAAGTAGCTTCCCGCCCACGCCCACCGCGGCGGAGCCAGAGTCTGCCTCAGCGCTCTGCTCGCCATTACCCGTGCGCTCAGAAGACAAAGAGGGGTACCATGTGAAAGAAAAAGAAACAGAAGGAGATTTTTGTAAAATACAAACATAAAAGAAGAGGTATGGACATACGATGAACCACTTTAAAATTTAGGGACCCAAAATGCAGTTTGAGAGTTGATGGACCTGGGTGACACATGACCAAAAGTTAATGGAGCTACGATGCATTTAGCTCTGTTTTTTTTTTTGGGAGGGGGGGGGGCATAGAGCAATCACACAAAATTTACTGATTCTGTCCCTTCTTATATGCACTCGGTATTGATCCCTAATGATCAAGAAGTAATCAACTACACTGCAAAAACGCATCAATCAGTTCAATATCTCATGAACCAAATAATAGTGTTGCCAATTTATTCCTTCACGGAATCCCAATCCATCTTAGTTGGTCTAAGAGACATAATTTATGTTTTAGGACATATATGGCCTAGACTTGGACATTAGTACATATAAGACCCTAAGTTTTTCTATCACTATGTCCTGGACTGTAGAAAATCTTTCACTGGAAATGATAGTTTCTTGGTACGATGTCCTATGCTATAGAAACTGCTAATAGTTTCTTGCATTGGGAGTGCCCTTATGTGCCCGCCAGAGAGGACCACTAGGACCGACGATAGGGTTGCCACCATATTGCCCGAGATGTCTGCAGCTAGGAGTAAAATTTGAAGGTGACATTGCTGACCTAAAATTTCAAGGTGTAAACACGAGGTTTTCATTCCCAATTTTGATATGCATCCGACATGTATATATAGCACACGTACTTGCATTGCGTAACATAGCAATATCAGCTAGTAGTTCAAATATAAAAAAAACACCTCCTTCATAATAGGTACGGATAATTAAAATTAGAGAGGATGAAAAATGGATAATGATGATATGGATTTAGGTTTGGATAACTATGGATATGATCATATCCTTTCCAGTGGCAGGCGTAGTGTTCAGTAACTAGGATGATGCGATCCTGTTAGATATGGCACTTGGTGACATCGTTGGCTAGCCTTGACACCGCTTGGCCGCCCTGGCGCCCTTAGAAGCATTTTAGAATATATATATATATATATATATATATATATATATATATATATATATATATATATATATATATATATATATATATATCCTAGTATATAATCTCTAGACGTGTTTTCTACATATAATATAAGCAACAGTTTCCTACTTGTATTTTGCAGAATTACATGATCCTTGTTTTCATTTCTTTTGGAGAGAGAAGAGGGGCTCTTGATTAATCATATATGACTATGGGCTGTGTTTATACGTAACAAATATCATCGGCCCAAATACTCGTCCTTTTTATGCGTAGCAGGCAGAGATGGAGGCCGACAGGTCGTCCAGCTAATAAAGACATATGCAGGCCAGTTTTGCGAGTGTTCTGCATTTGTCTGCCCATATATTCGTGATCGGAGCTCGGCCCTGCTTGCTTCATGACGCAAAAGTGATGTGGGTCACGGCCTGTGCCGAGCACTCTGGGCCTCTGGCCCATATAACTCGCTGACCTCACGTGCGTGCACACATTTGCATTTGCTGGCCTGCTGGGTGCCTGGGTTTCATTTCACCATCTGTTTCCCTACTCTCTAATATGCCACAAATGTATCTGTAATTGTTTCTGACGATTTGTCATCTAAGTAATGAATCGATCGGAGCTTCAAAAAAAAAAAAGGCTCAATAATGCTAAGCTGGCGGCAAGGAACATTCTGTATATGCCCTGTACGATTAAGACCATGTAAACTCTAGGTGCCTAACACTCTCCATTTACCGGCTTGCCGGAATCTATGGAAAATCATTCAGGTGGGGCTCTCCCCCCTCCGGTGAAGTCTTAAAAAAAAAAAGAACCAAAAGTTTGTTTATGTGCCTTACTACATTTACATATGTGTTCTATAGTAGCTTTCTTTTGTTTAAGAAACAAGTGTTCTATAAGCTAATTGAATACGGAGTACTCATCTAGTAACAGCAGTGTGCGTAAATATGTATTCTTTCTGCCAATTTGAGGTGTTATTACTTGGCATTATTCTTCCTGGGAGGAATGTTCCAAAGCTAAGTCAACTACACTCCGTTCGGGTTCATTTATTATTGGTCCATAGAACATTATATTCTGGTTATCTGGATACTTTACTTAAGTTCAGTCAGGAAAAGCAATAGAAGCAAAAGGGACGTCTGGTGTTTCAGTGTTGGGATCTTAGCAGCTTTGTTCCACGTTTCCGGCTGCTAAAGGTTGGGACGCGAAGAGATGCACTCTAGCTATTTGAGAACTTGCTACAATTTCGATCAAAACGCCCACGAATTCGGAACTGCTAGCTGTCATATTGAGACGTTTGAGGATTGCTCTTGCTGTTTAGGGGTCTGTAGTAAGTCCAGCGTTAGTTTATCGCTTTACAAACACAACAGTACAAGCTTGTGCATAATAACATAATAGTGACAAAAACATCATGTCACTCACATTAGTATAACCCATGTTTAATGTCAAACAGCTAACTTCAATGTCGATCATCATCAGTTTGTGGTTGCCATGATGACATACTTATCTCATATAAATTGCTGGGTAGTAGTTTTGCAATGAGTATTTAGTAACATACTAACATTGCAGCTGTGGTCAAATGTGAGCCAGCCGGCTAGTTTGTGCCTTTGTGGCAGCCATGTTTGTACATTTACTATAGTAGTATTTTTCTCACAAGTTGCACATTCATTAACCCACAAACAGCTAGCCTAACAAAAACATACTCCGTAGTATTTTGCCTAGGCATCATGTCAAGAATAATAAAAAGGCCACACCACTTTTAGGTAGGTGTATGTGGGCCTCATTCCTCGTCCTCTTCGGCCCGGTAGGCAGGCGTGGGCTGGAATACCAGGCGGTGAGGTATCCCGGTCTCATATATCCGACTAGAACAACCCCATTTGATAATTAAACATCTTAGCCTACATGTTTATTTTTTCACAATCATCGTTTACCATAAGACATCACTTTTAGGGAAGTTAATCTTTAGGCTAGAAAGCATTTCATATATATGCAACAAACAATACATGTTTCTTGCCATATCAAGGTAATCTTTGATGCACAAAATTATATCATCTGCATATTGCAGAATAGCTACCCCCTTATCCACCAAGTTCCCAGCTAGACCCTCAATTAGGTAATTTTGTTGGGCATTCAACACCATTCTAGTCATTACATATTGCAGAAACATATGGCTTTGGTAGGAAATGTAAACCATTGATCGAGGAGATGTGAGGCAAAGGGTTTTAGCATCTTTGCTCAGAACGAAATCCTCCAAGCAATACTTAACCAAGAACGGAAGAAACAGTTCTATCTCGCTATATCTCACCTCACAATAACTTAGACAAGATTTTCCTAAAAGAGAATTGACCCACAAGAATTTGAGTACTAGTCCAGGAACAAAACTTATGCAAGTCAATCATGTGAGAAATAAGGTTGTGCACAAATTACTTCCATGTCAGATTAAATTTACACACTCGACGAGGGCGAGTAGAGGTAACTCACGTGTTATGGGCTACCTTTGGTAGGATCGCTTAGTGAGGGTTTCTGTTGCGAGATACTTCCCTCGATCATATAAAGACCGTTCATTTGACATCTCACATAATATTATTTGTATAGCCACATGTCTATATGGGAAGATTTGGACTCATACCCTGTTAGGTAGAAGTCGACTGGCTATCAAGAGGCTGGAGTGGCAACGGAGGAGCCGAGAGAAGACACGGATGTTGGGTGATCTTCCATGGCCTGGTCAACATCCGTGTTTGACCACTACATATTTTGGATGCTATGCATTCTACCAAATTTGTGTATTTTTGCTTCGTCTAAAAAAAACCTTAGTTGACATCTAAAGTGTATCAAAATTTAGAATGGAAACTTTACACAACACAAAAACCTTACTTATTTGTGACATATGAGAGTATAGTCAATTTTGTGGACGTCAAGTCTCAATACACATTTCTTTCTAAAAAAATACAAGTTATATATAGAAAAAGACGGTCTCAGTCACAAGACTAGGACGTCAAAATGAGTGTTCCATCGTTTATATAGAAAAATTAAAGTAGACAATAATTACACACTGTCCAATAACAGAGCAAGTAATACAAGTTTACAACAACATAGTAGTATATAGCAAAATAAAAAATAAATAGTACAAATATATATTTAAAAAAGAAAAGAAAAAAAAAGATCAAGGTGCGCGAAATCCTGCAAACGAAGAGCATTGCGGGCATGGCAGCATCTAGCTGCCTAGTAGCGTAGATATCATTATTTAGTGTTGACAGCCCTGCAGTACTTCCTGATCTCTCCCTGGTTACTGGTTTTTACCTCAATCTGGGACATCTTAACGAAGGCCTTCTTGAACTTGCCCTCCCACCACCCAGGGATTTTGGCGTTGTCACCCACCATCTTGGCCGTGGCCGGCGTGGTGAGCAGCGCGGCGTCGGACGTGAAGAGGACCTTGTGCGCGAGCACGTTCTTGTAGTACTGGTTGTCGAGCGCGTTGGGGGTGACGATGTCCTGGTTCACGGTGGGGTCGTTGGCCGGGGCCGGGTTGGCAGGGCACCGCCTCCGGAGGAAGTTGGCGAACCCGGCGTTGATGTCGGAGGGGACGGCGAGGCGATCAGGGACGAAGGATGAGCAGTGGGAGCGGCCGACGGTGTGCGCGCCGGAGAGCACGACCATGTCCTCGACGCCGAGCCCCTTGGCGGCGAAGGAGGCGATGAGATCGGTGACGTTGAAGACGGGTGGCGGCAGGTTGTCGAGGGCCTCCGAGGCGTTGGAGACGCGCCCGTCGAGGCGGCCGGCGGGCATGTCGATCTTCATGTTGAACCTGCTGAGGAAGTAGGCGGCGTCGCGGGCGGCGAAGGCGACGATGTCCGCGCAGGAGACCACGCCCGGGCAGGCCTTCTCGACGGCGTCCTTGGCGGCGTCGATGACCTCGAAGCCGCGCAGGCTTGGAAAGTTTGGTGCGCTGAGCTTCTCCGGCTGCGGGTTCGCCGGAGTCGGGTCCAGGAGCACAGAGCCGTCACATCCCTGCATATGTTTGCATGTCGTGTCAGCCTGGATCGCTCTCTCCATTGTACATTTGTACTTGGTGCATTCATGCATGGACATGGTCGGCATTGCTGTGTACGGCGTACCTGAACAAAGCAGTCGTGGAAGAGCATGCGGATGAGGCCGGCGCCGATGCCGGCGTTCTTGTAGACGAACTTCTTCACCTCGTCCCGGACAATGTGCTCCACGCGGGGGCATGTCTTCTTGTAGTATCCCACCTCAAGGCCCTGGCACGCCGTCGTCGCAAGGACCAAGGCCCATGTCACCGCCACCGCAAGCTTGAACGAAGCAGCCATTGTACGTGTGTTTCCTCTTGGCTGCTCAGTCAGAACGCCAAATAAATTCTTCTCTAATTGCCCCGATCCCTTTTCTACCTGAGAGTGCGTGAGAGCTAAGAGCCGAGTGATGAAATGCCTTTGTATGGGTGGCTATTTATACATGGAGATGCCGTGTGACGACGTCCAAGTACTATACGTACGTGTTAGTTGGATCCATGGTGTATTATGGAGTACGAACTGATTAGAGAGATAGCTGTCACAGAACATGCATGGAGGCTGCAACCGCTATTAGCTGACCATTTGACATTTTGACCTGCAAATGTATTATCTTGTTTAAGTTGCTGTAGCTGCATTCCGCCTGTGGTTTCTTCCTTCTCCTGGTGACTGAATCTATTAAATTTTCTCTTCATGGGAATGTTCCATTGCATGATCTGCTTTCAACCAATTGCACACACTCAATGTCTCTTCTTTAATTCAAAGAAGAGGATATTTGAGGTGGAGTGGAGGGCCAGTATTAATAATAAGTAATAATAAGCATACTGTTCGTCGAGAACTTGAGGAGCTGTCCTGCTAGCTAGATTATCCCTTAATTTCTTAGAAATAAGTCAATTCTTCGAAGGAGACCCCTCATCAGTTAAATTTAAAATGTACTCAAATGGGCATGTCATTGCTTGTTGTGTGCATGTATATAATTGATAAAAGGGCCAGGAATGCATTCAAATTGCCCCGTTCAAATAATAACAACTTGTTTTTTTTATATATTTTTTGAAGGTCAATTTGTTGTGTTTCTGTTCCTTTTTGACACCAGGAATATTGTCTTTTCTTGGTGTTTACACTTGTATACAAGCTGTCCATATGAATAGATCTATATATATCTTTTTCGGAATTATGCAAAGCAACCCTAGTTCCTGCCGTGTTACTGTACTATAGGATTCTACATAATATCTACTTGTAAATTTTAATACAAGAAAACTGTCTTGCTGAATATTCATTCAGAAACTGTTTATTTTCTCAAAGCTAAGGATCTTGCATACATTAGGTAGTAAATGATATGCATTGCACATAATTGATCAAAATCTACAACCACAGGTACTCCGTATTTGCGAATGTATGGAGTAAAAATTACTCATAAATGATCTCTCAAAAATAGATTAGATCTCTCAAAAAAAATTACTCATAAATGATCTCCCTGTTGCTGTTGGTTGATGTCTGCCTTTCAAACAGGTTCGCCAACATTCCCCAATTTACCTTGACATCGGTGCTTGTTGGTGCAACAGAGATCAATTCTAAAGATAATTTATCTCTAGATCGCTGTACGCTCTTTATTAGTCAACTGGTGATTAATTATTGGTGCCAAGTGGGATTATGTGGAATGAGAAAGCGAAGCGACCAAGTCTGGATTGTTTTGCAGTTTACACTTGGCAACGCACAACACTCAGAAACCAACCAGGAAGTTGTAGTTTACACCTGGCAATGCACAATACTCATGGAGGAATAGAAAAGAACAACTTCTTGTGTGTCTTTTATTCATTTTTTGACACCAGGAACATTGTGTTTTCTTCGCACTTACACTTTAAGTTGCCCATATTATGAATATATTTTTTAGAAAAAAGGCTAGTCAGCAATGAGCAAAACGATATTGGCTGCAATGAGAACATGTACAGGGTTATTGCGGGGTGAGGCTGATGCAACTACAAAGTAAGTTGCTTAAATAAGCTAGATCAATGGTATTTCACGTAATTTGAGTTAGGGATGAACTAGAAATAGAATGTATTTGACCGCAATTAGTTAGTTGACAAAAAACACCATGTTGAGCTCTAGACTTCTTTGCAGCCAGCAAGCGACATGAAAGTGTTGTATGGTAACTCAAATTATACTTATAATAGGACTCAAGATGGGTATGCTATTATAACTTATAGTTCTATTACGACTTGAATGTAGAATCCTACTGGTATATGTATGGGGGCAGGCCTACATCGAGGCCCCATGCTCGGGGGCTTGAGAGGTTCCCGAGCATTCCCGACGTTGGACGGCTGTGATCTAGATCAAGGAAGGCTAGGAATCGTAATCACTCGTGGCGCCGTCTCAACCAACCATTTACCCGTGGCAACATAAGGAATATTCCTCCAAGATCTATCAAAGGTCCAGAGCTTGACATGTAGGCAGACCTCTATCTCCTCGCCCCTACGAGGCCGTGTTAGACTCCTGGTTCAAGATCATGCCTGGGGTGTGATACAACGCGACAAAGGGCACACATGTCATCCCTTTCCGAGGAAGATGGACGTGTGGGCTCCTCGATCATTCTCTCCCAAGGACGTGCCCTCCTCTTTAGCGTACAATGGGATGCTATGGGGAGGGCAAACTCAGGTGAGACGCAACGACGTCTCTGGGCTTTGATTGTTAGCTCTAGGCTTCTGCAAGTGGTGTCAGGGATGGTTCAGCGCTGTCAGCCACGACCACCACAGAAGGGGACGACGTCAGACTCCATCAATAGCTTGAAGATTAGTATGCAAAACCTCGTGCTCCCTTGCGAGCTAAGGGAGCTTCCAGAACCCATGCTCCTTGTACTCCTCTTGCACCCTCTGGAATATAAGGCAGGGCAGAGGCTCCCTTACAGGGGGACAAATCCTAGAAAACCCTAGATTACTACTAGCTAGCGCTCTCCTACCTTCTCTCTTTCGCTCCCATTGTAAGAACTCCATTGAGAATTCTAACATAAAGAACTTGCTGCTGGACGGTTTAGATGTTCGAACCAGGATAAAACTTTGTGTCTTGAGTACTGAACCACCGAAACAACGACCCATCGATCGATCCACTAATTACTCATCATGGTTCTAAACCCACAATAAGGGCCTTGGAGGGGACTATATAAACAAGGAGTAGAGGCCATAAACATCAACCAAGCCAAGGCAAGAATCAGTGGGCCCTAGAAGGTCAAGTAGGGTTGTGTGTGTGTGAGAGAGAGAGAGAGAGAGAAAGTTTCTCTAAGGTAATTAGGCCCTTAAAATTGATATGGTGCAATCTCACGTTATACTCACATTATATTTTCCAAAGATCTAAGGTCTGTTGCACATAACTAGGGGTACAATATTATAATAGAAAGGATAAAAAAAGTGGAGGTGGCCATTGTAGGCATCTGAGAAGAGGGGACGGACAATGAGACGTGGAGATGGCAGCTTGGGGTGTATACGTAGTTAGCCCGCCAACAAGAGGGGGTGAACAGTCATTTCTACAACTTATTCGCTATGGCTAGCCATTATAAATGCGGAATTGAACTAATGGTCTGGCCACGACTTCACCCTCTATCTAAATTCACAAGCACCCTTTAAAGATCCTAAACAAGATAGCAACTAGGGTGTCAAAGCTAGTAAGAGTTCACCTACACAAGTCTAGTATGCAAGGTTACACGAACCTAAGCAACTAGAACTCAAGCAAGCACAAGAAAGCTCCTACGCACACTAGTAAGCAAAAAGGTAAACAACAACTATAAGCTACACTAGCACAGCTAGCACAAGATATAACAATATAAGAGCTAGTGTAACTGTGTTAGGGAGAGAAAACCGCACGACAGACAAAAGGTTGACACGATAATGTTTCTCCCATGGTTCAGTGTCTTGCCAACCACCTACTCCTCGTTGAGGCAAGTTTAAGGATTGTTGATCCTCTCACTAGCTCCCAAGCCCACAAGCCCTCGAGATAGGCTCCAACGTGAGGACTAGTCTTTGATTCAAACAAACTCTGCGATGACCCCTTTGGGCAATCACTAGTGAAATCTGGTGGTCCCTGAAACTCTCTACATAAACATTTTTGCAACACCGGAAAGTTCTGGTCCTAGCCCACTGTCAGCACCAAAGAAAGCGCCACCGAGGTCCAAAACTCCCGCGCATCTAGATTGACGCCACAAGGCCCCTTTGGCCACCCAAACCTCTAGTGCTCCCCCTCCAAGGGCACCAGAGTTTTTTGGTGCTTTAAAGCACACGTATAACAAGTCATAGTATGGCTATTTCTCAATGCCAGGGCCTAAAGCTTCGGTGCCAACCCCACCAAGGGCACCGGACTTATCCGGTGGGCACAAAAAATGACCACCAAGCACTCTCTCAAAACCTTTTCAAATGTCTAACTCACAAATTTTGTACAACATGATAACAACTCCTTTAGCACCGAGTTAGCATTTTTCAAAATTATTTTTGCAAAGGTTTTCTCTTGCTTCCCTTCCACATCACTTGATCTAAATGCACCTCAAGTTAGATCTCACATAGTGGCACTAGATAACAGATTACCAAACAAGAATAACCTTCTTGATAGTATGACTATCTATCCTGAACCCAATCGTGCACTTGTCTGAAATGACCTAAGAATATACCTTTGCCTTGCACTCCATTCCATCTCCATGTCGGTGATGCCTGCGAGCATCCAACCTCAATCTTTCATCAACATATGATGAACAATAATGGTCATCTTCCAAGTGTGGCCAACCACGCCACCTTGATCATTGTCCATAGCATGAAGCTCCTTCATCTTCACTTCATCAAGCCACTTGATATCAACACATATCTTCACCTGGCTTGAATGAATATGATCCACTTCATAGCTTCACGTGGCCTTCACGGTCCATCGATCGTAGCCTTGTGTTGGGGGGTGAAGCCGTGCACAAAGGTTCACTAACTTAAAATCAATGTTTTGTGGACTTGATAAGCGTAGGTACACAGGCGAAGGTCTGAGCGAAGGCAGAGGATCATCCCAAATAGTAAAACAGTGAAGGTTCGGGGAAACCTTCAACAGAGGCTCCCGAGTGAGGAACCTTCGCATAGATCCTGCAGCCCTTGGGGCACCTTAGGACGGGATGGAGGATGGAGAGCCTTTGACTGCTTGGGACATGCCAAAACGATCGAAGGCAGCAGGCGGCTAGGACGCCGACCAAAGACAAGCGCAAGCCTAATGAAAGAGACTGAGAAGGCTGAATCGAGCGGCCTGATGGGCTGAAGGTTTGACTCGACAATGACCCATTAGAGAAGGTGGTTATGAGTGTAAAAGACACTAAGGTCCAAAGGAGGTGTACACTGTGTGAAGCAATATGCCTTAGCTGACATAGGGGCATTCTTGTACTAAAAAAATATGTAACCTTACCCTAAAAAAAGGGGACTCGGACCCCAAGAACAAGGAGATCATTTTTTGCCTTCGCTCTCAGGGAAGGGCCTTTGGCAATCAGGTTAGAGTAGCAGCGAGCTCGCCCCTTCTATGTTAGGGCCTCATGCATTCTCCCAACACCTTGCTTGCTCTAAGCTTCTACTAGCTGGGGCTCCATGTAGTGAATAGAGAGGGAGGTGGGAGAAGAGGGACGAGAATAAGAAGAGGGGAGCTAGAGGAAGAAGAAGAGATGGCCCTCCTAGACTCCAACTTTGCATTTGCTCCTAAGGACAGATAGAAGAAGGTAAAGAGCGAGAGAAGGGCGCGATAGGAGGATAGCATGTGGGGGCCATATTGCCAGCGGAGTGAGAGGGCGGAAGGGGGGGTGCTTCAGGGCACAAGCTGGACTGGACCGCTGGAGTTGGGCTAGTAAGAGAGTTCAAAGGAGATGGAGCCTAGGAGTGCATTGGTGGGTTCCATTAGTGTTTGAATAGATCTCTGAGTGAATTTCAGCTAGACTCTAAAGGGTACCACCAATTTAAAACACATGTCAACCACTCAAACAAACATGCATGTATGTTTTCAAAAGGCTTTAATTGGCTAAACTTTGTGGGCTGATATAAAATTTGAGAAATTTTAAAATGATTTGCTAAGTTGACTTAGTGATTTAAAATATTGGAAAACAGAGTGTTGCACCATGTTTATAGTACATATAAAGAGTACTCCCTTTATTATTTATGCCTTGATAATCAGAAAAATGTTTCTCTAAATGTCAAAGAACAGAGTGAAATGGCTAAGTAAATGTTGAATAGCATCAGAATGTAAAACAGCAGCTCTGAGAACAATACCACCTGTCATATAAAACCGCTTAGGATATTTGTACATCTGGACTGCATGGACATGTGCTTAAAGACGACTTCTTCTTTTTTACACATTTTGGAACACACATAATTCCATGAATGATTCATCATTCTTATTCACTCCACATGTAAATTGGGAACAACTTAACCCTTCCAAATAAACTGGGAACAATACACCACTGGAAGTGATAGATCTACCATTAGATTACTGTATGTTCAAGGAAGCGAGGACTTCAAGAAGGGAAGCAACAAATTGCATCTGAACTTCCTCATCAATTGCCAAGAAGAGGGGGAAATGAACGAAGAGAGACCTGATGCCATGTTTCTCTGCAAACTTAAGCGAGTGATAATAGACATAGTTGCACACAAATCGGCCAGCATCATCTGAAGGCATCACATCATATCCCATTTGTCGGAGCGACTTGCTTATTTCGTTCACTGGCAGCGTAGTCTGCTTGATCAAGAAAGCCAAACGTAGTTCAGCTGACGCACATGATAAGATAACTAACAGGTAGCAGGAAACAGACAGTTGTGCAAATAATCATTGATGTAGAAGCTGGAGAAAATTTGAGATCAATCACAGAATTTCCTTAGGGACCTTTTAAGGAGGAAGTAGTACGTACATTGGTTAACGAGAGTGATGCATTGAAGTGATAGCAGTAAGTTTAACAAAGGAAAATCAATACTTTGTTTGTACTCTTGAAAATGAAAAGATTGCAATCAACTGACAGCAGGTTTATTAAAACAGAGGATACGTAGGACAGTAAATTAACAGCATAATGTGAAATACTAGTTTTCCAAATGAGATGTTTAGAGATGCTCATAATGATTTTTTGAAGTACTAATGATTAAAATATACCTGTCTTGCGTGTAATATGCTTCCATCAGATGATATGATAGGCATCCTCTGGAATGTAAAAGAAAATAAATGATTGAATGTAAAGAAGTAGTGAAATAAAGAATGAACATGTTTGTATATGAAAACAGCGAAGCTAGAAGGATAGCAACCTGTGGTTTCCATCCAAGCTCATCAGGGCAACGGAAAGCAGCTTCATTAACAGCTTGATTCTCAAGAGCAAACCTATGTGAACCACTGTTGGCACCAAAATGGAGCTGAAAATGTTGCGTAAACATAAATTATTTTGTTTCAACGTAATTAACATAAAGAATTAGAGATTTAGCAATTTGAAAACATCGCAGCATTATATCTTTTATTTAAAGCATGACAGTGTTGAATGATAACCGTGCAAGGTCAAACTTGGCTGCTGCATAAGTTCATTTGAGCATTCAAGCTCTAGAGTCAGTTCACTTGATGTATATGCTCCATACCACAGTTCTTACTTCTTAATATATCCTACTGCAAAATCAAGAATGTTTACACCCAGGGATCCATTGGGAGAATAAACAAAAAAAATAGTTCCTAAATACGAGCAACTAAAGTGAGTTTTATTATGACAATTTCAGGAGAGAAAAAACACTAGCATATGTTCCATGCAAAAACAAGACTGAAGAACACAGTCGTCTATTCACAATAATAAGTATATAGCAGCCCTATAGCATAACCAAACTATAAAACTTGCATAACTTTAATCATCGCAAAGAAGTTCCTTTATATCCTTCTAGAGCGGAATCAGCACCAAGTCAACCAATCTCTATGTGAATGGTTAAATTCAAAGACCATGAGAGGTGCGACTGATGAAATTCTACTATAATATGCATAGCGTTAACTTTGACTGCAGACAATGCTCACAGATGGCATCAATTTCAAACTAAAATGTTAAGGTCATTATGAAATATGCTAGATGAGGTGTGCGTTCACAAATTCACAATCTGTTACCACCCTAGAGTGCTGTAATTTCTAAACCTCAGGAACTTTTTCACATGAAGTTAATAAAACCGCTTCTCCAAACTAGCTGAATTTCATACTTCCCCAGACAATTTACTCTGCACTGGTATATGTGAAGGTGAGAAACTACCAGAATTACTCGCTCCTGACTTGGCATCCCACATTCCCGGCCGGAGACAGTTGATTCCAGCAATTCATACAACGGACCAAGCGCACCCTGCCCGGCAGCCTCAAGGACGGTGCAGCTCCCAAGCGCAAGGCCTTTGGGCAACCCTTTCGTCTCCATGAATGATGGGAGATTGCGTACGATTTTCTCGGTGGGGTTCTCAGCGACCCCATGGAACTTCTTGAATCCAGTGACATGGACGGTGGTGACAGGAGAAGAAGGCCCCTCGGAACCCATCTATATGTATGCAGTGCTGTGTTGAGCAGCAAGATGACCTCTGCCTGAGAACCTGGAATCCTGGATAGAGGTTGCTAATATCAGTAAAGGTAGTGCAGTGGGGAAAGCATGTTTGTTAAGGCACCGAGCGCAGACTGTGGCAACTGCCCAGCCCAACACGAATGTATTTTTTCTAGACCAAAGGCTTATCCAACACGAATGCATTCATACACGTATAAAGACATTCAGCAATATTTATATTTATCGTTGCCCAGAAGGAATTTAATTATGCAACTCGGAGGTCGATCTCAAATATAATGTAATGTGGTCCTATAATTGAACCACTTTGCACATATATATGATCAAACGGTACGAAGATGGCAAACATAATAATTGTAGATTTGTCTAGATGTGTGATGGGAAGGACGCCACGGAGCGGCGAGACCATCCTGAAACCGACTGACGCAGACGTGTCCCGGCCCAGAGTATTTACTGTACAAACTAGTATTGAAAAATAAAGAATTAAAAAGAAGAAAAGATTGAGTTGAACAAGTAAGAAATTGCAGAGCTGCAGACTGGTGGCTGTATCAGAGAATGGGAAGCTAGCTCATCGAGGCCAAGTCCGGAGTCCGAACAGAAACCGGCTAGCATGATAGTCAGTAAAGCGTTCTAGCAGCACGCGCTGGCAGTGGCAGCGGCCATGCATCATCATCATGACAAGCATCATATATGGCGTCGAGAAACCTCGCGCAAGAGCACGACGCTGGGATTCTTTGCTACTGTAGCATTAGCAAGCAGGCGATTGGAAGAGCACAAGGGAGGAGCCCAAGTCCAAATTGAATTGTACTGAAATCAAATTCCCCAGACGAGACCACGAGGGGAAAGAGCAGCAGACCCAGATTAAACAGACACCTGCTAGAAGGAAAGGCGTTGCTCACCTCGGGACTGGGGGCGGGGGCGGGCGCGCGGCGACGAATTGAAGCAGCTCCTCCTCCTGTCCTGCAGCTGTTGGCTTCAGTGCACCTGCAACAATTTGCCGGCCGTCTCGCGGGTTGAGGGGAGGGAGGGAGGGACAGAGAGAAGCGGGCGGACGGACCTGAAGAAGAGCGGCTTTCTGACTCAGTCACTGATTGATCGTAAAATTCACAGCCGGGTGGGGTGGGGTGGGGCTGGCAGCCCAGGAGGATATGGCTGACACGAAGGAGAGGAGGAGAAACATAACAATATATATACGGCAGTCGGCAGCTGGGGCTGAGCTGCCGCTGAGTCCGAGAGCGTGCCGGGACCGGGACGCCAACCAAGTCCGCGGCGCCGCGCCCGCCTCCGGTCTGCTTTCCAGTTCAGGCAGGCGCGGGCGCAGCTGGTTGGTTTGCCGAAACCGCATGGCACTCGTGAGGTTCCTCCAGCTTTCCACCGCGGCGCCGGCGGTTTTCTGCTCGGCTGCTCCTGCACAGCTGCAGCTGCTCGGTGATGAGCGGTGAATGAAATGAATTCCAATCCTCTTAATTATTGATTGCAACCATTTAAACTACCTCCCTAAATAATACCAGACAAGTTTTAAACCACGAAAAATCTCTCTAAGATTATCATTTTTTTTGAGAAAAATTTAAAGATGTATTGGAACAAGAAAAACCGAAATAAAGTATTTAGTGCACATGAAAATGTCTCTGGAAGCCTCCAAAATTTATATTTAGCTTATGGAAAATGGAAAACAAAACATCTAGAAAAATCTAAAGAGTTTCCAAAACATTCTAATTAATGTCTAAAAGCATTTTAAAAACTTTATAGAGTAAAATTATAAGATAAAACAAGCAAGAGTACAACACACATTTAATGTTGAATTCATTCGTGCTGGTTGCGTCTCATGTTTTTGTTGTACAAAGTTTTCAGAATGTGTTTTTGACATCGATTGGAATGTTTTAGAAAATTTCTAGATTTTTTTGGATACTTTCTCATCTTCCTATAGCTAAATATATTTTTGGAAGCTTTTGAAGATACTTTCATGAACTCTAAGTAATATGTTTTGGTTTATCACATCCTAATCTAACTTAAATATTTTTCTTATATTTTTTATTTTTAGAAACTTAGTGACATCTTTTGTCGTTTAAACATCTTAATCAGGTATTTACCAGATTTTTTTAATTAAAAAATATAAAGTTTGATGGGCACAGAGAAGTAATTTAAATGATTTTAAGAGTTCTGAGATAAGATATCTGAATTTAAAGTTTGATTTGAAAATTACACTGCGGTCAGGAAATCAAATGGACTTTTTCCTTGAGATTAAGATGACGATCCTGCTAGTTGCCCTGCCCAGCTCCACAGCCGGCCCGGCCCATACACAAAAAAAGTCGCGCTATTAAATACGCAGAGGCAGGCCGGCCGATATTATGGGCTTGCTTGACTTACGTTCCTTTGCAAGCTCAAATTTTGTCATCTTTTAATCAAGGCAAAATGTATACTGCTTTAAATAAAAAATTTATATCGACATTACAACGCCTAAGTTATATGAATAGCCATTTTTTTAGGATGCCTGACTCAGCAATCTACGTGGATCGCCCTCTGATTGAGTGATTTATCCCTCGACTATGCAGCATTCTTCAAAACTACTCTTCAAAAACAAGGACTTTTATATACAATCTTGTACAAAGACAAGAACTTTAATAATACAAGATTTTTTTCATTTCTTGGTCCCTCGCTTTCTTCCCCATCCAATTGTCCCTCCACGTCCCTAAGTACAAGAGTTCTAACAAAGTTTTACTAAGAGTAGTCATATATGTGATGAATTAGATATATGAGTCCTGCTTGGTTTACTATATCCCTTGTCCATGATCCGAACTCATGATTCATGTCAATACGAGTTAAAATAGTGCCCATAAAGCCAGGTTACAGAGTTCAGTTTCAAACCATATTGAAACAATGATGTAAGTATATATTTTGTTGCAACACATGAACATATTTGCAATAAAACAAGAACAAAACCACGAGAACTACAAAGCAGTTTACAATTGTTATATTTGATGTCATCTTTTCATTGATTCAATATTTCCATATCATGGATTTAAATACAAAGGTGATCAACAAAAAAGCTAAAATGAACCACGATTTTCTCGAAGCAAAATCATGGTATGAAAGCTAGACAGTGCGACATCACCCTACTCTTGGCCGAGTCATCCTTGGAGTACCATCGGCACGCTGAGGCTATAAAACATAACCTCCAACAACCGCAAGGGAGCGTTACAGCTCTCAAGAGTGCCGGATGAGCTCTGTTCTACCGCCTATATATTGTCTCCTCCATCCTGTGACTGTGTATGTGTGGTATCGTCCTAACTAAGTCTCAATTGGCCACCTCCCACAACAAGATATGTGGCATGTACAAGTAGATCATGTGAAACCCATTACCCAACTGTATATGTCCTTAGAGAACCAAGCAAGACATCTCCTCCCTAGGGGAAGCTTAACTTCTCGTGCCCACAACAAGCACCTCCTCGAAAACTCGTCGACACATAGCTCCACTATCATAGACTCCTGTAACTGCCATACCCACCACAGGTATCATAAGGTTACACCTTCTAGGCTTGACATCATTTGAAGACTAGTTATTACCCAAGACATGTGCTAGAAGTTTCGCACCCAAATATAACCATATATCATAACATACCCAAATATAACCATCTATTAATATGTGATTAAATTGCAGTAATATGAAGGCCAACACCAGATTTATTTGTGATTTTTTTATGGTTTATGGTTCCTAAAACTTATGGAACAAAACAACATTTTTTTATTGGAATGTCTATTATGGAAGTACATTCATAGGTACTCCCTCCATTCTAAGCTATAAGATGTTTCGGCTTTTCTAGATACATTGTTTTTACTATGTATTTAAATGCAGTGAATATCTAAATACATTGAAAAACTATGTATCTCAAAAAACTAAAACCCCTTATAATTTGGAACAGAGGGAGTAGTAGAATAAGACATACCAAATTATTGTTGCTTATGCAGTTTATGTTTGATGATTTTTTTTATAGAAAAATACGAAGCAAGCAAGAACAGAATATGTCTACCATTAAAATTGGATCAGAAGGGAGAGATGTTTTCTACCGGTGGAGAAAGATGCTATTTTTCTTGAAGTGAAATTACAGTAGGGCAGCTTTGATAGACCCGATGAACCAGTACCACGTCACAAGGGCCAGCACCATTGGAGAGATGCATCAGCATTGTTTTTTCTTGATTGTAGATTTTACTTGAGTCTCAATTGAGCATGGTTCCACTTGAACATAACTTATGGAAAAAATAGTCTTTCAAAATTATTATTGCTGCATACTTGTAACATGATTTATCCATTTTCCTTTCCTAATCTAATGATTCCCTTGTAGTGCTGTTGTTTTTTATTCAATCACAGCATAATGGAGTATCGTCCAAGAGGTGGTTTCATGAACTTTCTTCAAGGTGTGGATGGTGCTGCAACATTTCCCTTTGGACCATCCTTGCGCCCACAACATCCTACCTACCAAAACATCACTTTCCTATGCCATATACTCATTTCATGGGACCACCAGCACCTTGTATTGTAGTACACACAGCTACCCACTGGCCTCTGATTATACAGCCTGTTCGGGAGACCGTATCGTATCGTGAATTATTTACTGCTGGCTGGTTTGGTGTGAGAGAAAAACACTGTTCCCAGCTGAAAATTTACGATCGTTTACGAGCAAGCAAACATGCTAGGAGCCAGAGTCCAGCAAACATCGGTCAGAAACTCATCATCGAGTCATAAGCAAAGTGGAAACAACACAGTATATGATCGAGAGGAGTCGAGGCGAAGGATGTACTACACTGGTGAGGAATAGAGGAGGATATAAGATAGATGTTTAATCTGTCAATTGATTGATGTGCACTGTGTTCCTTTGTCAATTGTTCATGTGGTTGTCACTTCAAAATAGTGAGCATATTATGCATTTATCTTAACTAGCCTTATTTGCTACTGCTACTACTGAATTTTGTTTGAAAAATTGACA